CATTTTGTACATTATTACTAAATTAAATGACACACTTATTATTATTACAGTATTTTTGAGACTAATAATTAACAATGAATATTAATTAGCCACACCCACTACACGTGTACATGTATGAAATGAGCAGAAAGAAGCAGTGTCAGTGTTTTAGCTCAGAACTGGAGGAGAAATGGAAGAGAGAGACTACAAAAATAACTGAAGATAAATTTAAAAGTAGCCATTGTCACTATTTGCTGATGATTTGATGGCTTTTCATTTTTAGATTTTATAAATTTAATTTTAGATTCCAAGGACTTATCGACACAATTATCCAGTGTTAAAAAGGTATTATATAATTGATTATTATTTTTTGTAATTTTATTTTCTTTTTAGGTACAGGTCGATATTTTAGCTATAAGATTCGAGAATCATGTTAACACTGATTCTGATCACATTGATTCTGATCACACTGATCTGATCATAGTCCTTAACGTCTTAGTTCAAATGCATTCAGTTTGTGAGCCACGTCATCCATTGCAAAGAACAATTGCAAGGTATTATAATTATTATTTTTATTATTTTATTTATCTATTTATTTTTAGTACCATTACAGCTGTATGGCAATTCAAACCTCTACTAATCGAGGCGGCCATTTTGAATACATTAAATGGATTAATTAATACAGTGGGTGTGGCTAGTGAACTAATTGATTACGTCCAGTCATTAATGGAGTACTATCCTCCTGGGGGGAGGGTACTCCATATTGCTCTGCCACAAGGTAACGTCAACTAAATTTGAATTGATTGACCAGTAAAATTTTATAGTTATTAATTGGCTAACCTTGTCATTTAAAGAATACTGGAAATCTTTTTTAAAGTAATTTTTATTTTTCGTTTATTGTTAATTATTAATTCTTAGGTCGATTGAATTTCAAAATCTTCTATTTTCACTTTCTAAAGTTTTACTTAACATTCTTCATTTTTGTAACCGTCTACTAGTGGCTCTAATCCAGTCGTGTGACTCTGGATCGTGTGACCTTGATGACATCATCATTACATCATCAAAGAACCTAATGGTACGCCCAAGTGAAATCAACTGGTCGAATGCGAGGGACACTGGTCAACTGGTAGAACAACTTAAAGAAATACAAATATTGACAGATAATATCCTGCAAGAAACAAGTAATAGGAACATTTATTTATTATTATTATTATTATTATTATTATTATCAGGTATTCAAATTTCAAGAGACACTCGTATTTCGGTTGCCATGGTCTCCATTGTTGTCACAGCAACCCTCTCTCCTTCTCTTCAACCCGTTCTCCCTCCACTAGCAAAGAAGTGGCTCACAAAAGGAGATTACTCCTATCCTCCATTAAGCAGACTAGCACTAGTCCATGGGCTGTTGGCTAAGTCGTCAGGAAAAGATTTGTTAGGGATCCT